TTTAGAATTTTTGCATCTATGTTCATCAGTGATATTGGCCTGTAGTTCTCTTTTTTCATGGCGTCCTTGTCTGGCTTTGGTATCAGCGTGATGTTGGCCTTATAGAACGTGTTAAGAAGTGTTCCATCCTCCCTAATTTTTTGGAATAGCTTGAAAAGGATAGGTATTAAATCCTCTCTGGAAGTTTGGTAGAATTCCCCATGGAAGCCATCTGGTCCTGGGGTTTTATTCTTTGGGATGTTTTTGATTGCTGTTTCAATCTCTTTCCTTGTGATTGGTCTGTTCAAATTGTCTACTTCTTCTTGAGTGAGCTTTGGGAGATTGTAGGAGTCCAAGAATTTATCCATTTCCTCTAGGTTATCCATTCTGTTAGCACAGAGTTTTTCGTAGTATTCTCTTATAATCCGTTGTATTTCTGCAGAGTCTGTTGTTATTTCTCCTCTTTCATTTCTGATTTTGTTTATTTGAGCTTTCTTCCTTTTTTGCTTTGTAAGTCTGGCTAGGGGTTTGTCAATTTTATTTATCTTCTCAAAGAACCAGCTCTTTGTTTCACTGATCCTTTCTACCGCCTTTTTCGTTTCAATCGTTGAAAATTTCGTTTCAATTTATTTCTGCTCTGATTTTTATTATTTCTCTCCTTCTGCTGACTTTGGGCTTTATTTGTTCTTCTTTCTCTAGTTCAGTTAGGTGTAGTTTAAGATTGCTTATTTGGGATTTTTCTTGTTTGTTAAGATGTGCCTGTATTGCGATGAATTTTCCTCTTAATACAGCTTTTGCTGTATCCCATATGAGTTGGTATGGCATGTTATCATTTTCATTAGTTTCCAGGTAATTTTTGATTTCTTCTTTAATTTCTTCAACGATCCATTGCTTGTTCAGTAGTGTGTTGTTTAATCTCCACATCTTTGTGCCTTTCTCAGCTTTTTTCTTGTAATTAATTTCTAGCCTTATAGCATTATGATCAGAGAAGATGCTTGTTATTATTTCAATTTTTTTAAATTTGTAGAGGCTTGCCTTGTTTCCCAACATATGGTCTATCCTTGAGAATGTTCCATGTGCACTTGAGAAGAATGTGTATTCTCCTTTTTTTAGGGTGAAGTGATCTATATATGTCTATGAAGTTTTAGTTTTTCATTTAGCTCCACTATTTCTTTGTTGATTTTCTGTCTGGATAATCTGTCCATTGATGTGAGTGGGGTGTTGAAGTCCCCTACTATTATTGTATTGTTTTTAACATCTTCCTTGAGGTCTGTTAATAGTTGCTTTATGAACCTTGGTGCTCCTATGTTGGGTGCATAGATATTTATAAGCGTTATTTCTTCTTGATGAAGTGTCCCTTTGATCATTATATATTGTCCCTGTGTATCTCTCTTTACCTGTCTTATTTTGAAATCCACTTTGTCTGATATAAGAATTGCAATACCTGCTTTTTTTTCCTTGCTATTAGCTTGAAGTATGGTCCTCCACCCCTTCACTCTGAGTCTGTGTTTGTCCTTGGGGCTGAGGTGTGTTTCCTGGAGGCAACAAATTGTTGGATCTTGTTCTTTAATCCATTTTACCACTCTGTGTCTTTTTATTGGAGAGTTCAATCCGTTTATATTGAGAGTGATTATTGATGTATGTGGACTTAAAGCTGTCAATCGGTTGCTCATTATCTGGCTTTCCTGCTTTTCTCTTCCTGTGTGCTTTATCCTACCCATTTGATACTTATGCTGGGTTTCTTAGATTTTTGCTTATTTATGTTTTGTGGCTCTGTTCTGTTGTTTAGTTTAGTGTCTACCCTGAAGTTTGTATTTAGAATCTCGTGTATAATATAGTCTATTTTCTGGTGGTCTCTTACTTACTTGGCCTAGACTAATTTAGTCCCTTTGCTCTTCCTCTCCTAAATTATTCTTTTCACTTCTTGTTCCAACTTGTGTTATGACTTTGCAGTTAGAGTGATAAGATTGTCTTTGCTTTGGTAGTTTCCTTACCTTTATCCTAACGCTATAGTTGAATATTTGCTATCCTATTCCGGTTCTATTTATCTGTCTCCCTACTCTGTGGTTTATGACCCCTTTCTCCCTTTTTTCTTTTTTCAGGTATGAGAGTCTTCTTGAGGATTTCTTGTAGTGGAGGACTTTTGGTTATAAATTCCTTTAACTTTTGTTTGTCTGGAAAAGATTTAATTTCTCCCTCATATCTGAAGGATATTCTTGCTGGATAGAGTATTCTTGGCTGAAGATTTTTATCTTTTAAAGCTTTGAATATGTCACTCCATTCTCTCCTAGCTTGTAAGGTTTCTGCAGAGAAATCCACTGAAAGTCTGATAGGGGCTCCCTTGTAGGTAATTCTCTTATTTCGTGCAGCCCTGAGTATTCTTTCTTTGTCATTCCTTTTTGCCATTTTTACTACTATATGCCTTGCAGTAGGTCTTTTTACATTGACAAATCTAGGAGATCTGAAAGCTTCCTCTATACACATTTCTCCCTCAATCCCTAGATTTGGGAAGTTCTCTTCTATAATTTCATTAAGCACACTTTCTGCTCCATTTTCCTTTTCTACATTCTCAGGAATTCCTATGATCCTTAAATTCTTTCTCCTCATTGAATCTGCTATCTCTCTAATACTTTCCTCATTCCTTTTAATCCTTAGTTCTCTTTCTTCCTCTGGAGCAATTCAGTCTGTCTATCTTCGATTATGCTAATTTGCTCTTCTATGGAGTCTACCCAGGCATTCAGGGAATCCATATTCTGTTTTATCTGGTCCATTGTGTTTTTCATCTCTAGTAATTCTGTTTGATTCTTCTTTATAATTTCAATCTCTTGTGAAGTAACTCCAGAACTCGGCTTGTTTCTCTATCTTTCTCTCTACCTCATTGAGTTTTTTTTTATTATAGCTGCTCTGAACTCATTTTCATTTAGTTTACCTAATTCCAAGTCCTCAGGACTTAATTCTATGTTTTTATTGTTTTCCTTCTGGTCTGGGGCTTTTATAAATTGCTGGATGGTAGAGGAGCAGTTTTTTCTCATGGTGGTAGAATTCGGTTGCAATTACCGCCTGTCGCTACTAGATGGGGGTTGAAAGCCGCGTGTTCTGAGCTCTCCGCCTTTGGGCAAGATGTCAGCGCCCAGTGCGCTTTGCCGGGACGGGGGCGGGGGCGGGGGCGGTTTCTCTCTCACACCAATCTGGATTGATCAGTTCTGTTCTCTGGTCTCCTGTCCTGCGTTTATGGGGGTCCCCGCGCACGGAAGTTTTCCCCCGTCAGCGGGGTTTCCACTCTACCAGCGGGAGGAGTCCTAGGTGATCCCCTGGTCGTGCGGCCCCTCCCCGGCTCCTTCCCAACCCACGCAGCGATCCCGGTTTCTAGGGGATGGAGCGATGTTCTCTCTTACCCCGTTCCAGCTCCTCTGAGGTGGGCAGTAGGGGCTCCGTCTTCTGTCTTTTGATACTGTAGGTCTCTGAGTCCTGGCATTAAGTTCATTAGCTGAAATTCAGGTGTTTTTTTTTTTCAGTCCTTTGTTGTACTTTGGAGGGGAGAGATTCCTGGGTCAGCTCACCCCGCCATTTTGCTCCGCCTCCTCCACCTTGGTTCTAATTATTCTTAATGCATTTACTTCTGTAATCAACAACCCCTCACAGATAAAACCAATCTCTTCTTGTCAATCTCAGCTACAGTCCCCTTGAAGACAACACACACACACACACACACACACACACACACACAAGCACACTCTCATATGCTTTGATTAGGTCTGATATTCCTTACCCAGCCACCACCACTTTGTGTCCCTAGCATGATTGCCCATCTCATCCAGCCTGGGGTCTGAATACTACACTGAGCCCTGCCACCCAGGTGAATACCCTCCTCCTCCTACACCAACTAGGACATCTGTACTGGGCCAACAGAGTCACTCATATGTGGGGCCACCATCCTCACCACACTCCAGCTTCAAAATTCCCTACTGAGCTTCCCCTCCACCACACGTGGATGGTGTTTCTACATTGTGTGGGCTCCAACACCCTGTCCACATCTTCCAACCTCTCCTTCCTGCTTGGTCTCTTCTCACCCTGCTTATACACTAGTGACTTAAACATTCATGACATGCTTCTCTAGGAACTAGAAGATACACAATGATGGAGAAATGTCCATGCTTAGGCAACATAGTAGATCCAAAGGTGCAAATGACAACTTGGTCTAGGGAGGAACACCGCTTCTGGAAAGAAGCTCCATTAAGAGAGATAAGCACAAGCAATAACATGAGTCAGGTACATGAAGCATGGATATATACATATAATGGCATGAAGGGCTGAAAGGTAGATGACACTTTTCAGATGGGGGAGGGAGAAAATCCCTAATAATGGCTGGCATAGATGGAAATGATAAGATAGAGAAATCAGAGATGGAGGACAGATCGCTTAACTAGAGAGACATTAACAATGCCACATACACAGTGCCTGGCACTTACTTACAAGTCACATCCCTGCATTTTTCTTTCTTTTTGTTGCTCTTAAACCTCATCAATTTCTGGATGGTAGGGCTGATGATTTACCACACCAAGCACTTCAGGGATTCAAGGCAAGAGGAAATTTCTTTGGCCTCAATAAGATGCACACAGACCAAATGAAAGAACCTCGTAAAATTTCTTTCAGGTTCTGGGGTTGCGCCCATGCCCAACAAACACTATCATAGATGTAGAGGTAGGAAGAGAAGCATGTCATGAACTTTGAAGAGAGTGAAACAACATTCCACTCACTGGACAATATATTATTCTGTCTTGTGGTCCCCAGCGAGAAAAATGATCTCTGCAGGCAAATTTATGCTGCCTTGGCTGGACTTGGACACCTGGGAAATTCTGTGCTGGGTTATTGAGACAAGCCAAACCTGTAGCTGTGCCCAGCCCAGACCCATCCCCTGCTGCTTTGCATGTTTCCAGAGCACAGTCCAATACCCTGAGGGTTACCAGTAGGCTGGTCACACCATGGGCAGGAGTCAGTGCTATTCAGGACATAGCCTGGACATGAGGGCCCCCGCTCAGCTTCTCAGCCTCTTGTTTCTCTGGCTCCTAGGTAAGGAAGAAGAACACTAGGAATTTACTTACATTGTTAAAAACTGCCTCTTCTTCAATGCTCATTGCTGAATAACCCTCAATGTCCCCATGTGTCTGAGATGTGAACACTGCCACAACACTGTGTGGTCAGTACTACCTGTTTCTTCAGTGAAGTCCTCTTATAGCATGATTAACAGTGTAGATATTTGTTTTTATGTTTCCAATCTCAGGTGCCAAGTGTGAAGTCCAGATGATCCAGTCTCCCTCCTCACTGTCTGTATCTCTAGGTGTCAGAGTCACCGTCACTTGCCGGGCATGTTAGGGCATCAGCAAGTGGTTATCCTGGTCTCAGTAGAAACCAAGGAAAGTTCCTAAGCTCCTGATCGATGTGGCATCCAGTTTGCACACTGGGGTCTCTTCGCAGATCGTGGTTCAGCGGCAGTGGATCTGGCACAGATTTCAGTCTCACCATCAGCAGCCTGGAGCCTGAGTATGTTGCAACTTACAACTGTCAACAGTATAACAGTAACCATCCCACAGTGTTACAAGCCAGAACATAAATCACCTAGGGAAGCAGACCCGTGAGGCTGGGCTGCCCCAGCTCGTAGTCTTATGCTGCCTCCATCTGCTAAGATGCTAAAAGCTTGTTTCAGACACAGCTATGTTTACAAAGTCACTGGAAGATTGTGGTAGAAGAGGCAGGGAGAGTCCTGTTCACTCTACATCTGTTTCTCCCTCCTCCACCCCAACAAGACACATGATGTTACCTCTTCTAATTTAATAAAGGACCGAGATAATAACACCTGATGAGTGTGGGTTATGTTATCAGTCTGGGAGCATACAGCAAAGGAGAAATCACTCTAGATATTCCGAGTTTGAATTGTTTTCATACAGAGAATTAAAGTGTAAGCTACAACCTTCCAGAGGTCTAGGGTATGGTAGTCAGGGAAGCCGATACCAGAAATGGGTGATTCCTTGGTGCTCCCTCAGAAGTGAATAACAGTAGGTCTGGGACAGATTTCACCCTCACAATCAACAGTCTAGAGGCTTAAGATGCAGCATATTATTACTGTTAACAACATAAGAGCTTACCTCTCAAGAGTGACAACCCTGAACAAAGTACACTCATCAATTTATTTCCTCCTGCCAAAATGGCTGATTATAAATAGAGCAATCTGGTAAAAAGCTCAGTGGAAAGCACTTGTAATTACTGCTTTCTCCTGTCACAGAAGCCAGGCACTGGAATCATACACCCTTCTTTGGAATTTTGGCTCTTCCACTTTATAGCTGTGTAAATTCAGCAAGTTGCTCAAACATTCTTCCCTGGTTTTCTTTCATCTCTAATAAAGAAAAATAAAGAAATAACTGAACCATATGGCTGTTATAAAAATTAAATAAATTAATACTTATAAAGCATTTATAATACTGACTGGCAAACCTAGTAAATAATAAATATTAGTTATCATAATCATTTTGCTTCACCTTGTAAATATGTAGATCCAATACTTTCCACCAAATGTTTTTATTTCAAATTATTTCCTAAATTAAGATTTTTTTCTCAAACTGTCACTTTGATAAGTGGTGGAATAGCTTATTTCAAACCAAATTGCCAGATATAAAAAAACTGGACAAATTATGACAACACACATTTAAAGGCATCAGAGAAGGACCATGTAATAATATGACTCCATTTTGTATATCTCATCTCTAACAGCTTGCAAAACACACCTCCTGCTTTCCCTTCTGCCCATAAATATGCAACTGCCAGTGGGTCATTCAAACTTCACAAAACCCAAGCAGATATGGGAAACTTTTCCCCAGTTCCTCTCCCAAGCAACTGTAAAGGGCCAACCCTCTGCCTCACTCAAGCCAGCTCTAACCAGCTTGTGCCCACTCTGCTCTCCTCAGGATTCCCTTGTATGAGTAAAACATCCTCGCAAATTCTCTTATCCTGTGCAGTATCAACAAACTCAACATGATACCTATTAGTTGGGAAAGTGTCCATCTCACCTCCATGGGGTGACAACAAAACATGCCAAGCGAACGAGTATTTGAGGAACCTACAAAAGAAAAAGGGAAACTTTGAGAGATGAATCCTACTTTTCTTTCTTTAGGGTCCCTCAAGTCATTTCCTGGATCAGAAATAGCTGCTCAGGAGTTAAAAATCTGAATGAAAGGAGATGGTGAGAGGCCTCAAAGTCAAGTAGAGCTTTTAGCAATCTTATATGGCCAGAGGCAAAAATTAGTCTCCAAGGGCTGAAAAGGAAGAGGGATGCTGCTTAACAGCAAGGCCTTCAGTGAAATCCTGGAAGAGCTACATCCCAGGAGGCATCGCTCCTAGGTCTGCTAAGGTAATTATTTACTTGATGGATATGCATATGTATACGCATATGCATTTTCCTTACCTCCTGAGTCCATTGACTGAATAACACCTTATGGTTGATGATGCGGGTGAATAAGGTTCAATTTAAGTCCAGCTGCAACTTATTCAACTGTGTATAGGCCATAGGTCATGGTCATAGCATCCTCCAAAATTAAAAAATATCAATGAATGACACCACGGTTATGTGTGACATGGGCTGATTATTCATTAGCCCATCAATATGTCTTATTTAAGGGGAAAGAGTGCATGATTTTAGGTGAGATGGCCCTGAAGTAAGAACCAGATGCCAGATAAAGTTCATGTCTGGAAACCCCCACATGTTATGGGCCTGGAGTAAGAAGAGGGATATGTTTGTGGAAAGGTTGCCGATTTCTCGAGGGTGGTGTTTAATCACTGAACGTAGGTTATCATACACATGTTGACAGGAAATGACTTGACTTAATGGGGTACGTCCAATCAAGAATAATATCTACAATATAATATCAACTATTAGTTAGTGGTAATGGATATTCATGTGGATGTAAGGTTTATGAATGATTAATCATTATATGTATTATGTAAAATCCATAGTGTAATATACATGCTTGTATGCATGGAGTAAATAATGTAATGTGTGATTAAATATACTATGGGTTATGTATGATATGTTATTTGCATGTCCTAATAGATGTGATACAACACTGAATGCACGGAGTACATGGTGCTAAATTGAATTCTATTTCCTTTTTTAAATACTGACACAGCGCTTGATAATAATGTTTCACTGTTCAAGTAAGAATTTTGAAATCATACTTATTTACTCAGGCATTCAAAATCAAGGGCATAAAAAAGGAAGCAGAAACAAGCCCAAAGCATTTGGAGATATTGGGGAGTACCTAGATGGCATGTGATTAATTGACTAGTGACAAGATGGAGTATTTCTATGGTGAGACAGAAACTATTCAAAGTAACCAAATAGAGATTCAAACAACGTGGTTAAAACATAAAGAACTTAATAGATGAGTTTAACAGTAGATTTGACAGAGCTGGAAAGTAAAATGATGAATAAGAAGAAATGTCACAAGCTTAGAGTAAAAAATGAATGGAAATCATATAGATGGGCATAAAATGCACATGGAATATAGTGAAAAAATCAAATGTGCGTATAACAAGTTCAAGAAGAGAGTGTGCAGGCAGAGACAATGTTTGAGGAGAAAACACCTGTGAAACTTCCAAAACTGGAAATTTCTGATCTAATCAGTGTGATGACAGACTGGTCTCTAAATAAGATAAAGACCTGAAATAAAAAGGTGCTGAACACACTAATCATCAGGGAAATGCACATCAAAACCATAATGACGAAGACTGTAACTAAGAGGAGGATGTTGGAAGCGATGTCAGGAGACGCCCATGTGTCTTGCAAGTCTTGGGTTCTTTTTAAAAATTGGATATATTTCAATATAAATCAATTTTTTTAAATGGCTCATAATGTTTGTCTATTACCTTGTACTTCTTTCTCTATTATTTTAGGATCCAGTGGGGATATTATGATGACTCAGATTCCACTCTCCCTGTCTGTCATCCCTGGGAGCCGGCCTCCATCTCCTGTAGGTCTAGTCAGAGTCTCCTACATAGTAATGGAGACATCTATTTGCAATGGTTCCCACAGAACCCAGGCCAGTCTCCAAGGCACCTGATCTATAGGGTATCCAATCAGAACTCTGGGGTCCCAGACAGGTTCAGTGGCAGTGGGTCAGGGACAGATTTCACACTCAAAATCAGCAGGGTGGAGGCTGAGGATGTTGGAGTTTATTACTGCTCTCAAGGTACACAAAGTCCTCCCACAGTGGTACAGCCCTGAACACAAACCTTTCTGCTTGGCTTCGACCAGCTGCCCAAGTTCAACACTTGTCTGGTGAGCAGGCATAGCAGGTTCCTCGAGTCTGCGTAGGAGGAAGATGTTGGAGAATTGCAGGGGATAGATTGTTGCTGAGGGCTCTGGAGCGTGAGTGCCTCGGCCACACTTCAGGCATCCCGTTTCTGTCCAGCAGAATCACAGAATGGGAAGCCCATGACAGCATGGAGTGGGAATTGTCATTTCCCCAACTCAATAACTTTACTCAAAAATAGCTTTTCATTTTACAAATTATAAAACTAATAGTAGAAACAAAATAGAAATTCTGAAATCATCCATATCCTTGCCACAATGAAAGAGCTCCTTTTTCTTTTTTTAATTTTAAAGTTAATGTTTATTCTGTTTAAAATCAAAATTCCATCTGAAATTTTTAATTACCTTATTTTATCACTACGCTTTTTTTCCCAGTTTTATTGAGATATATCACTGTATAAGTTTAAGGTGTACAGCTGAATGGTTTGACTTATATGTATTTTGAAATGATTACTTCAATAAGTTTAGTTAGCATCCACCTCTCCCCTAGATACAATCGAAAGAAAAAGCAAAAAGAGTAAAAAAAATTCCTTGTGGTGAGAACTCTTGGGATCTACTCTCTTAACAACTTTCTTATATATCATACAGTAATGTTAACTACAGTCATCATGTTGTACATTACATTCCTAGACCTTATTTATATTATAACTGGAATTTTGTACCTTTTGACCACCTTTCTCCAATTCTTCCTCCCCCCACCTCCTGTCTCTGGTAACCACAAATCTGATCTCTTTTTCTATGGGTTTGTTTTTTTTTTTTTAAGACACCACTTATAAGTGAGAACAAACAGTATTTGTCATTCTCGGACTTCTTTAATTAAGAATAAACACGTGAACTTAAAGAGCATTGTTTAAGTAAGTGTTAGTTGCTGATGTAGTGGAAGCATATTTACATATTTTTCTACATTATGAGGATGAAAGGCAGAGGAGGATTACCACTCTCTCCTGTTTGTTCTCTTCATTTGTCTTTATTCCTTTTTAATCACAGGTACTTGTGGTGACATTGTGGTGACCCAGTCTCCAGCCTCTCTGTCTGGAGCTCCTGGAGAGAGTCACCTTCATGGCCAGTGAAAATCTCAAGAACACTGGTGGGAAAACCTATCCAACAGAAAAACCGAAAACCTAAGCCCCTCTTTTACCCACTTTCCAAGATACACTATGGGATCCCAGCCCAGTTCAGTGGCAGTAGCTCTGACAGAAATTTCACCAGCACCATCAGTAACCTGGGGGCTGAAGATGCCACTAGGTACCACTGTAGGCAAGGTACCTGCTTTGGTCACTGTGTGAGGAAACCGACTGGTCAGTTGCCCATTCTCTGAGGTCATTTAAATCAGAGCAGAGACAAACGAATTCAGGTCTAGGACCACCTATTGGGGTTTAATCAAGGATCAGCCACTTACATTCTAAAAATACTTGAAAGTGTACCTTTTAACTGATAATGCCCTATATTTATTTTCAGCAGTATGAAGGTTGAAAAAATTTCTTGTCTTAAAAATACTCAAGAGAAGAGGTATCTGTAAATCATATAGGAAAGATGAAAAAACAATTTTCCAATTTAAACCTAGGCTGGAAAACATGGAGGCACAAAATTTGAAATCACTCACTTTATAGAGACCTTGGGGTATAATTTTCCACATTTTTAGAATATATTAAACCCATTGTGTCATTATTTCAATCTCAACCTAAAGTCAGTAGTCATAGGTAAGTGCAATATGTGACAAGGTGAATAAAATGGTAACAATTTTATATCTCATCCAATTCATTTTGTGATTAAGCATCAACAGTATTGTTTTCCATCATTTCATTCCCTTGAATTATATATAATTGTTATCCAGTTGTTTTATTTTACCTAGCTTTCTATTTAACCCTACAAGTTAGACATAGCTAGTTTTATTTATGATTGTCTAACTAAAACATATTTACCAACATGTTTATCAATAACTTTGCTTAAAGTAGACCTTTCTCCTATAAGTCCTTCTTCCTGACATACATTCTTTAAAAATCCTTTTGGTGAGTAGCTATTGGTAAAACACTCTCCCATTTGACTTGGGAGATGTGTGTCAAAAAACATCTTTATTTTCCCTTGTTCTTGAAAGATAATATTGCTTGGTATAAATATGTAGATAGAAAATAGCTTTCTTTTAGAATATCAAACATAGTATTTCATTATTACTAATGACCAAATGACTGGGAATCTAACTGATGCCCTTTTGTAAATAAGCCCTTTTCTTTTTTTTCTACAACTACTTTTAGGTTATTCTCTTTGCTTTTGATATACAGGAGTCTGGCAAATATAAAGTTACCTGTTTATTTCTTTTTTTTATTATGGTAGGAATTTATTAGTGATCGTGAATCTATAATTCATCAATTTTTCCAACTTTATTGAAGTAAATTTACAAACAGAAATTGAATATACTTAGGTGTACAGTATGATGATTTGATATACATATATGTTGTAAAATGATAACCACAATCAAGTTCATTAACATGTCCGTCACCTCATGTAGTTATCCTTTTTGTTGTGTGTGTGATGAGAACGTTTAAGATCTACTTTCTCAGCAAGTTGAAAGTATACAATACAGAAATATTAACCATAGTCACCATGCTCTACCTTAGATCCCCAGAATTTATTTATCTTATAACTGAACATTTTTACTCTTTGACCCAAATTACCCCCATTACCACCACCCTCCACCCCCTGACAACCACCATTCTATTCTCTGGTTCTATGAGTTGGACAATTTTTAGATTCTACGTTTAAGTGAGATCATACAGTATTTGTCTTTCTGTTTGACTTATTTCACTTAGCATAATGTCCTCCAGGTTCAACAATGCTGTCACAAATGGCACAGTTTCTTTCTTACGACTGAATGATATTCCACTGTGTGTATATACCACATTTTCTTTATCCATTCATCCATCAACAGACACTTACATTGTTTTCATATCTTGGCTATTGTGAATAATGCTGCAATATACATGAGGATACAGATATCTCTTTGAAAAACTGATTTTACTTCCTTTGAGTACATACCCACGTGGGATTGCTAGATCATATGGTAGTTCTATTTTTAACTTTTTGAGGAATCCCAATACTGTTTTCCATACTGGCTATAACAATTCATAGTCTCACCAACAGTGTAAAAGCGTTTCCTTTAATCCACACCTTCACCAGTACCTTTATAGCTTGTGTTTTGATAAGTAGCCATTCTAACAGTTGTAAGGTGATATCTCATTGTGGTTTGGATTTTCATTTCCGTGATGATGAGTGATGTCGAACATTTTTTTCATAAAATTGTTGTCCATTTGTACGTCTTCCTTGTAAAGTTTCTATTTAGGTTCTTTGTCTATATTTAAAAGTATTATTTGTTTCTTTTACTTTGAGTTGTATGAGTTCTTTATATATTTTAGATATTAACTCCTTATGGGTTTATTTCTGGGATCTCTGTTCTACTCCATTGGTCTGTGTGTCTGTTTTTATGCCAGTACCATGCTGTTCTGATTAGTATAACTTTTTAATGTAGTTTGAGATCCAGAAGTTTAATGCCTCCAGGTTTATTCTTCTTTACCAAGGGTACTTTGGTTATGTGGGGTCTTTTATGGTTCCATACAAACTTTAGGATTGTTTTTCTGTTTCTGTGAAAAAATACCATTGAAATTGTGATAGAGATTGCATTGAATCTGAAGATTGCTTTGGATAGTATGGACATTTTAACAATATTAATTATTCCAATCCATGAACATGAGATATTTATCCATTTATTTGTGTATACATAGATTTCTCCTATCATTGGTTTTTAGTTTCCAATGTATAGTTCTTTCAATTCCTTGGTTAAATTTATTCCTACATGTTTTATTCTTTTTGATGCCATTTTAAATGGGATTGCTTTCTTCATTATTTTTTCGTATAGTTTGTTGTAAATGTATAAACATGCAACTGACTTTTATACATTAATTTTTTTCCTGCAACTTTACTGAATTCATTTATTAGTTCTCACATTTTTTGTGTGGAGTCTTTAGGGTATTCTATATATAAGATCATGTCATCTACAAATAGAAACTATTTAAATTCTTCCTTTCTGATTTGGATGCTTTTTATTTTTTTCTTGCCTAATTGCTCTGGCCAGGACTTCCGGTATTATGTTGAATGGAAGTGGTGAGAGTGAGAACCCTGGCTTGTTCCTGATCTTAGCAGGAAAGCATTCAGCTTTTTGCTGTTGAGTGTGATGGTAGCTGTGGCCTTGTCACATATCGCCTTTATCATGTTGAGGTACATTCCTTCCATATTCAGTTTGCTAAGAGTTTTTATCATGAAAGGAAGTTGTATTTCCTCAAATGTTTTTTTCTGCACCTATTGAGATGATCATTTGATTTTTATCTTTCATTTTGTTAATGTGATGTATCTTGCTTACTTGTGCTTATGTGCAAGTACACCATGCTTGCATGCCAGGGATCAATCCCACTTGAATGTAGGGTATGATCCTTTTTAATATGCTGTTGAATTTGGCTTGCTAGTATTTTGTTAAGGACTTTTTGCATCTAAGGGCATCACTGATATTGGCCTGCAGTTTTCTTTTCTTGGAGTGTCCTTATCTGGCTGTGGTATCAGGGTAATGCTGTTGTCGTAAAATGAATTTGAAATTATACCCTTCTTATCAATTTTTGGAAGAATTTAAGAAGGATTTGCGTTAATTCTCTGAATGTTTTGTAGAACTCATCTGTCAATCCATCTGGTCCTTGGCTTTTCTTTTTTGAGAAATTTTTAATTCCTGCTTCAACCTCCTTATTTATTATTGGGCTCTTTAGATTTTCTGTTTCTCCCAGATTCAGTCTTGGTAGGTTGTATTTCCAGGAATTTATCTATTTCTTCTATGTCATCCTGTTGCTTGGTATA